TCAAAAGGTGAGGTGTCCCACTACTCCAACAAACTACCTATGATTGAGTAACTGCCGGCACAAAGAGGAACAAAAAGGGAACTTCGGCACAAAGAGGAGACACGACCAGCCCTACTCAAACAACTGCAACTTTTCATACTTTGATTTTCTCTGCACATGCTTCCAGATTTCGGTTTTTCAGCACAGATTTCGTATTTCAGCACAAATTCCATTAGAATTAGGTTGTTTTTCTTTATTCCAGTAGACAAATTTATTCCTATATTCAGTTAAAATAATTTTCCTTCATGCAATGAACTTCAATCCTTCAAGTTTATGCAAGGTATTGTTTTCTTTTCATTTGAAATTAATTTAATGTTTATGTTAAGTAGCATTATTTCAATGATTACTTATGAGGCCTTCATGCTTCTTTCCAATTTCAAGTTTCTTCAATTTATTCACTGTTCACGCAATTTATTCACGGTTCATGTTTAATTTCAGTGCTAATTAGGTTTAAGTTTCCAGATCTGCAGTAATTTAATTTCCGAATCTGTCAATAGATTGCACTTTTAATTTTACCACAAGCATGTTTAATTTAATTTGGGAACACTTCTTTCTCGTAAGTTTATTTTAAATTGCAAGTAATTTAGAATAATTAGGATTTGTTAATTGTAAATCACGGTAGTGTTTAAGTCCTTAGAGTTGTCCAAGGCAGATTTCGTAACCCATTCTGCAAGAAGGTATCCCTCCTTCTTGCAAATCGTCTGAAGGCGCAAATTTCATTTTAATCCAACGTTCTTCCCACCATCTGCGAAGAGGTCGACCGTGAGGAAGGAGAGGGTCATTGGGAAAGTCTTCCTTTCTTACTTTCAGCAAAGTAAGTGGTACGCCCGCATCAGATTTCACACGTACGAGGCCACTAGAGGATTTTTGAGGAAACAATTATATAATAACATATTTTATTATAAACTTATAATGTCATATGACATTATAAATATAACATTTTTGATTTGCTATTGTTTTTGGTTTTTGATTTTATTTGTTAAAATTTAAATACTTCAAGTAAATATGATATTTAAAAATCAAAATTTAAAATTAAAATCCATGAGTTGTTGATTATAAATTTTAAAAAACAATACTATTTTAAAATTAATTTTTTTTATTAATGTTTTAAGAAACAAGGATTATTAGTAAATAGTAATATTTAAAAATAAAAAATTAATGTACAATTTTCAGAAGAAACCAAACACATTAGTTGTTTCTTCTCCTTCTTCTTCTTTTTTTTTTTGGGAGAATCATATGTATTTCTTTTTAAAAATTATTTTCTCAATGTTCTCTCTGTACCTGAATAAAAAACCGAAAACGCAATACGTTTTAAAAAAAAAAAAAAGCCTTTTCTCGGGATCATAAGCTAAGCAGTCAGTATTGAATCATTAATTACCCGAAAAAGTGTTACAACGGGTTGAAGGAATCGTCGTGCCGAAGCGGGATGATACCCGAAGATCCTCCGCTATTCACCTTGCTCCAGCACCGGCGCGCGAAGAGGTCCGATGACTCCAGCCACTCCAGCAGCGGATCAGCCGTCGCCGGAGCACCAGTTTTTGAGGTGGGGTGTTACAGAAATTCTTTATTTCTTAAAAATAAAAAAGAAGTTTTTATTCTATTAATGAATAAAAAGGTATTGTGCAGCATTCCCCTAAGTGGTACGCTTGTGACCACGTTGAAAATCAGGTGAAATGCATCATAGTTTCTTAGGTTGGCTCTGACCAATTACTTTGAATAAATACTAATATAACCTAATACCATAGTTTTTTTTGTCGAAAAAGAAAGAAAGAAAAAAGGTATTGTGCAGATTGCACAATGAAAATGAGTCCATGGTAATGGGGCAATCGCTCAACGGATTCAGAAAAAGAAAAAAGAAAGGGTTTTGTTATCTATGACGTAAAAGTATTTAAAAACTCTGATGAACGTAGTTTATATTATAAAAATATTTCCAGCACCTTCTGTAAATGTTTATTATTTAAAAATATTTT